ATGGTTTACTTTCGTGTTTGGTCCTCCATTATGTAATTATTAATGTTAACATACTTTCTTTGGACGTCTGCAGATACAGAATCAATTGCATCGAGCAACTTTGGATAGCAACTCACAAGTTGGGGCCATATTCCAGGTGTTGCATACCACAGAATTGCCACCTACATATTTCCGTACAAACAAATTTACATCTGCCTTCCAGGAAATTGTTGATGCATATGGGTGAGTAATAGTGATTTGTTTGATAGTTATCCTGATTGACAGACCAACAACAACAACAAGAAGAAACCCAGTAGTTTCCCACAAGTGGGGTATGGGGAGGGTAAGATGTACGCGGCCTTACCCCTACACCCGAAAGGACAGACCACATACATGATTAACATCAAAATGAATACTCATCCTTAGGAGAAAAATAACCAAAATGAATAAACAAAAGTAGGAACATCCAGTCATCAAAGTACATTTTCTTACTCAAACTTTGGGTTGTGATGCCCAGTCTCAAAACAGTTGATCTTTCTTGTTGCTTGTGCTGTCTAAGAGTCTGCAAAATTCATTTCCTCCAAATGGTGCTTGATGTACTCAGTATGGGGTCAGAAAGTGCATAGGGAGTTATTAGTTTGAGACGATAATTTTGAGATACATAAAGTGCCTACTTTATATCATTGGGATGACTCATTATCAAAAAATATCATTGCGATGACTTGTATTATACAAAATCTGAATCAACCTCAAAGCACTGGAGTCCCTCAAGAATTCAACTCAACAAGCTAATCAAGGTCTGAATACAATGATTGTAAATGTATCTTGAAGCAGATAATTCGATATAGGTTGATTTTCAGACATTTAAATCTGCTCATTACAGAACAACGAACCCTAATATTCAATGTGCCCATATAAGGATAAATATGAAGGAATAATGGGTCAAAAAACAATATGTGGGCTCTGATAGTAGCCATTCACCTTCAAAAGAATTTGGCTTCTCCATTTCATTTCCTGCTTGCTCCTCTCCCCATCTGTTGACGAAAGGAACTTACTGCTCAGTTTGACGTTCCCCCTCATCCCACTAACTTCTTTCCTTCTGTCTATAGATGAAACTTCTTTTTCTCCTGGTCTTTTCTGATTTAACATATTGAGATATAAACACTCAGAATTATGTTTCTAAAAAAATGAATAGTTAGCTGGTTTCCTCTAATTGCTTATCCATATGACAGACCATCATAGGTTATGACTTCCAATTTTCAACATTAATTGCTCTAGCAACTTGATTTTTCATCTTTATGACCATGACCATGAGAGAAGGTCGTTCTTGATCTCCTGCAGATCAATATTTTGCCTTCTTACTATTTATTTGACTGGAGTACTTATGATATCTTCACTTCCGTAGAGATCCTCTGATCTTTTGTTCATTACAGTGTCGCAAAATATCAGGAAGTAAACCCTGGTGTTTTCACAATAGTAACTTTCCCGTTCCTCTTTGCTGTCATGTTTGGAGACTGGGGCCATGGTATATGCTTGCTTCTTGCAACATTATATTTCATCTTACGGGAGAAGAAGCTGTCTAGTCAGGTCAGTGCTGAACCTCTTTTCTGAAAAGTATCCAACTGTTCTCTGCATATTTCTTTACTGTTCTCAGTCCTTATGTGTACCCTGTTTGATTTTTAAAAATATTGCTAAATCATGTTTTGCAGAGAAAATAAAGAGCTAGCTGTGTATGGTTAATTTGGCATCACCGAGAAATCATGTTCTATAAATTTGTTAATCAGTTCACAAATTTTATGAGAATTATATGCTCATTCAATTTGTTTTGTCATAACAGAAGCTTGGGGACATCATGGAGATGACTTTTGGCGGTCGCTACGTTATTATGATGATGGCTCTGTTTTCAATATATACAGGATTCATATATAATGAATTTTTCTCTGTTCCCTTTGAAATATTTGGGCGTTCAGCTTACGGTTGTCGCGACCTTTCCTGCAGGTAGGTGCTGAAGTAATAGTTCAGGTTCTCTCTGTTTTCTTAGTTGCTCCAGTCCTTGAACTAGTTAATTTTGTTGAAGGGATGCCACTACAATAGGTTTGATTAAGGTCCGCGATGCCTATCCATTTGGTGTGGATCCGAAGTGGCATGGTACCCGCAGCGAATTACCATTTCTGAATTCTTTGAAGATGAAGATGTCAATTCTACTTGGTGTTGCTCAGATGAATCTAGGAATCATTCTAAGCTATTTCAATGGGAAGTTCTTTAAAAATGACGTGAATGTCTGGTAAGCCAGATTACTTGCCTCTTTTTTTTTTGTTTTTTGTTTTTTTGTGGAGATAAGTTAAAGTATTACCGACCAAGATTACTTGCCAATTTCCTTGGTTGTTTGTCAGGACTTAATTCATTTAAAACTTATAAACAGCAGTTTCCTTCTCTTGCATCAACCTTTTCATTTCTTGATAATCTCTAACCTTGAGTTTGTGTAGAGTATTCATGTGCTATTAGAATTTAGCATGCCACTCTGCTATCAAATTTATTAACATGTTCTTTTCAGGCATCAGTTTGTCCCCCAGATGATATTCCTGAACAGCCTCTTTGGCTATCTTTCACTTCTTATTATTGTCAAATGGTGCACTGGTTCTCAAGCTGATCTGTACCATGTAATGATATACATGTTTCTAAGCCCTACTGATGATTTGGGCGAGAACCAGCTTTTTATTGGGCAAAAATACCTCCAGGTTTCATTTTTCTTCTTTAAATTAACATCTAACATGCTACAGAAGAGGCCATCTCTAACATCTGTTATCCTCTCTTCTGATCCAGCTTTTGCTAGTATCACTTGCACTTGTTGCCGTTCCATGGATGCTATTTCCTAAGCCATTTCTTCTAAAAAAGCAACATGAGGAAGTATGTCTAAACTCAATAAATGCAGCCAAATTTTTAGTGGTACTTGTTTGCTCTAGTGTTACTCTTCTTCTTGCATTAACTTTTATTCATTGTCACATCATGAATTTCCAGAGGCATCGGGGTCAATTATATGCAATGCTTGACAGCACTGATGACTCTTTTGAGTTGGAGACACACAATCATTCACATGGACATGAAGAATTTGAGTTCAGTGAAGTTTTTGTACATCAACTCATACATACCATAGAATTTGTACTTGGAGCTGTCTCTAATACAGCTTCATACCTGCGTCTGTGGGCCCTCAGGTGCGTATCTATCAGCTTGAACAACGAACACAGATATCAAGTGGATATCAGCTCTTATTTGTGTTAGGAACATTTGTGCATGCTTCAAAGGTGCTAAACCAGAATGGTTACATGAAATATCTTCAACTTTTGTTATGATGCTTTGAGAAGCTGAAAACACTTAGTATCTTTAATCCTCTGGACGTGTTTGGCGAAGTGCTTTACTCTCCATTTTGAACCATGCTTATGTTTTCAATATGTCTTAAAGAGCTATGAAATCAGCTTTGCAAAAAACTCTGATTTATGAAGGTTGGATTGATCTAGCAGGCTTGATCTCGATGGGTTTGACATTTACCTCAGTTAGCTATCAGGTTTTAGTTGTAAACAAATTAGCCTTTAAGAAATCATTTTATATGACAGAAGCTCGGTCTGCTAACATTTTTTTGTTGTAAAGCAAATAAGTTTGTAATAGATGATTCTATATGACAAGCTTCTCAAGATACTCATTGCAAGGAAAACAGGGATTAAGCCGTACAAACTAGTTGGGTTTAAGGCTATTTGTTGTTACAGTTGCATTGGTTAGGTGCTTGACAGGAGTATGTTTACTCACCAATCTTAATGTAGGGTGAGCGTGAGTTTTAGGGAACAGTTAATTTTCCTGTAAAGGCAAATTATATAGACACGAATAGAGCAGCATGAGTATGGCGGATTCATATAATTGATCCAATTAGTATGGGATTGAGGAGTAGTTGATTGATTGATGATAGTTCGATGTGCCTTGTATGTCATGATTGATCTTATAGCAGTTTGGATATTTTGACTGAATTTGACATTTTTTCTCAGTTTGCTTTCAAATTTTAGCCTAGCTGTAAAGCGTATGAGTCAATAGGAGATCATCCTATCCGAAGCAGAAAATATTTAGCCCAAATGGCGATCATCCGAGGATTCTGATATTACCTGTATTTAGTCCCTTGCTCATAATTGAAGATTTTATCCATATTATCAATGTTTATTATTTTGTCTCTTTTCTATTTCTGTGCAGTTTGGCACATTCAGAATTGTCTAGCGTGTTCTATGACAAAGTTCTGCTTCTTGCAATGGGGTAAGCTTTTCTAGTATTTTCCCATAAGTTTGAACTGAAGAGATTATCCTTTTCTTTTTTGTTTGGGTGAAAATAAGACACCGTCTCATTGAACTGTGAGATTCACATTTGGTATATCTTGTGTTTTGTTACAGGTTTAATAATATCATCATCCTTGTCATTGGCATAGTTGTATTTATATTTGCTACTGTTGGTGTGCTACTGGTGATGGAAACTCTAAGTGCATTCCTACATGCCTTGCGTCTTCATTGGGTGGAATTCCAGAACAAGTTCTATGAGGGAGATGGGTACAAGTTTAGCCCATTCTCGTTTGGTTTGATTAGTGAGGATGAGGACTAAATGACATAGGAGGTTGTGTAAACGCTATGATTCATTGGCAGAACATGCTTCAATATTTTTTCATGCTATGTAGAACATTCTTGGTTACTCACCAGTAAAAGGTGAGTGTTAGGAAATGCCTTTTGTATCTCATGCAGTTGTGCAATTTGGTCGTTCTCAAATAAAAGAGCAGTCCCGTTATTAGAGGGCCTCTAGTTGCTTCTATAATGAGTCAGTTGTCTCTGTTTCTTGTTGTGGTGACAAGATTGATGACTGTTCTGACAGAATATCTCTTCTACTGATTAATACACTTAAAAATTGTTTCAATTTTTTCTACTGTTATGTTCTTAGGAATTTAGGATTCATAAAAAAGTTGATGCAGGGACGGTAATCAGCAAAACTTTGAAGATTTGTGTCAACCATGGCTGAATGACCTATTTCCAGAGAGAATTATATGGTAGTAAAATCTTTAGCCTACAGGCCACTGGGATAATATGCAGTCTTTGCCATCATTGACTAGTGGTATGGACTGGAGACAATGTAGATATCACGGCACCAACCAACAGATATTGGGACTCTGCAAATGTAGTAATATGATCCATCCACTAAAGCTTTTCCTCGAACAGAAGAGTGGCGTAGCCAGCAGAGCTATAACCCAGTAACAGCACTGCATGAACCTGATGCTTAAAGCAAATATATGGTCATGAAACTGCTTCTATGTATTTGCATGAAACCCGCTTCGATATCCACTGCATTACACAAAAGATAGTTTGGTGGACAATTCATTCACAGTTGTATCAATCAACTGTGCCTCAATCCCAAACTAGTTGAGGTTGGATATATGGATCGTTTGTTATCCATTGCATTCTATTAGGTTAATTTCATCTCGATATTGGAAAATTTATTTGTAATGGTAAATCAAGAACCCACTAAAATCAAAGGTTCCATAATCTCGCACCTATTCCTATATGGACCTACAAGTCCTAAACTACCCCTATTGTTTGGTAAATGATTTATTTTTACCCTTCGTTCATCTATCCGTCCAAAAATATATATCAAGTTATTTTTATTAATAAAATTGGCCCTCCTTTTAACGGTGTAACATGTGGGCCTTCAAATTAATGCACTGGCATATTTTTATTGGGCCACGTGGCTCTATGTTCAGAAATCAAATATGGGTATACCCCGACCTATTTGTTATTCAGGTTAAAAATTAAATGTATACTATTCCCCCTCTTGATTCTGCCAACGTGGCTCCATACCCCATTTCTCCTCCATCACCTCCAGCCATGTAAATGTCCCCCACACTCTCTTCACCCAACAAAGATATCTTCACCCGTAACTATGAAAAATTAAAGAAGCAAAATTTAAGTGTTCAAATTGTAATCGAAAAGTGAGGATTACAGAGACACATACAAAATATGCTTACATAAAGAATCTGTAGGGAAAGATTTGCGTTCTCTATTAGAATGGGTCCTTAAACCCACTAAAAGCTTTGAAAATGGTGAATGAATAAAGTTGCTCTTTTCCGAAGAAATAATCAGAAAAAGAACATAGAGAAACCATGACTGTTGCCATACAAATTCAATTATCTTCTTCTGTTGCTCTCTTGCTTCATGCCGCTTCTTGTGGTAGCAACTCTGAAAAATTTCAGGCCAACATTTTTCGGTAAATCTAAATTTTCAGACACGGCAAGAATTACTGAAACACAAGAGAATAAGGGTTTGATTACATTAACAAAATCAATTAATTAGCTTGCACCCTGTATTGAAGACCACCGCACTCAAAGACGCATGGGGAAGTGACAATAAGAAACAAAACGGAGGGAGAAAGAGGTTGCCGGAAAAGGTGTGTTACGGTTGAGGAGATTTAATTTGGTTAGTCAAAATGAGGAAGATACAAGGGTAAAGGGATTTAAAAAATGGGCCGGGTTCGGTTAATGGGGCAGATATTGTACCCATATATGATTGGAATTTTTACCTTCCTATGCCACATATCAAACCTTATTACCCTCCATGTTTAAGGTTAGAGATAATTACATTTAGTATACTAAATTACCATTTATATACCATAATTTAAAACATGGATATAATTAATGGAACATTTATTTTAGGCATAATTATAGGACCGTATATTCCCACGTTTCTCTTTCCTTTCAGCTCAACNAGTAACTACTTTTTGCTTCCTGCATTTTTGTAGATAATGTTTATATGTGTAGATGTTTTGTATGTTTTTGTAGTTATATGTGTGGGTTGGCTATATTTTTTTGAAGCAGATTTGTATGTATTTTTTCTCCCTGCTTTTTTTTAGCAATAAGTGTAGTGATTATGTAGTTATATGTAGATATTATTTATATTAATGCTTAATTTTTATGCAGTTTACTAATGTGAAATAATTTATCATTTTGTGCAGAATGGACATTATTTTGCCCCACATAATGTGGATTATGGCGTGCTTAGATTCCACACTTTGTGTGATCCTAGCATTCCTAGCCAGATAAAAGAGTTATTGTCTCCAAATGCTTTAAAGCTTTTTAAAAACACTTGTTTTGGTTACTTACTGTCTCTCCCCTCCATTTGCATGCAAAATCAAGCTATTCATCTTCTGATGAAGTATGAACTGTCTAAGTCTAATGAATCATTGTTTTTAGTCCACTTGAAGGGGGAAAAAATTGAATTTTGCCTTGAGAGAGTTTGGTTTAATTACCGGTTTAAATTGTGTGAATAAGTTTACAGATTATGGATATACTTCTAGTTATGTTAGCAAGTTAATGAATAGCTATTTTCCTAACAAAAAAAGAGTAGATAAGTGGTATTTGAAAAACATAGTAACAAATAGATCTTGGGTAAACGATGAGGATGCAGTCAAGTTGTGCATTCTTTATCTTTTGGAATTTTTTGTTTGCCCTTCTGACAAAGATCATGTGTCTTTTATAGACCATTTTAGGTTCTATTTGGTAGAGTCTGTTAATTTTGAGTCATACCCATGGGGTATTAAATCGTTCAATCAGGTTATGGAATCTGTTAGACATCGTCTAAATCCCTGTGTACATTCTTATCTCATACGGGGATGCTCATTAGCCTTGCAAGTGTGGCTTTATGAGTGTTGCTCGACCGTCAGCACGGAGCTTGCTACGAGGTGTTCTGACTCGATACCTCGCATATTAGATTATTTGAATTCTGACTTTGTATTTTAAGGTGTAGCTGTTTTGTTGATAATTGTAGTTACATTGTAGCTAACAGTAGATTTCATTTTATTTTGCAGCACATTGATGTTATTATGTATTACCTGAGAAAAAGAGGCAAATATGGCCCCAACCCCAACAACACTAGGTTTACAACAACCGATTGCTTGTTCAAGTCAAAGATTGTACAAATCTATGACAAGTTCATAAGTTCTCCGCCAGAAAAAAAGTATTCGGTTATTAAACCCGATGATGATGTTGCAGAATATATTCTTGGGTATAGACTCCTTGCTAATGTTGCCTGGGATGAAGTTGACTATGTCATCATGCCCGTGAACATTGTAGAGAATTTCCATTGGTTGTTGATCGTTTTTGACATAGTGGACATGCAACTTTATGTGTATGATTTCATGGTGTCTTCACACCATCATAATGCTGTTGAATCATATGTTGATAAGTTTTCAATCATTATCCCTCTGTATTTGTCTTGCACTGGTTTCTACGGGAAGCGTAAAGACATTGACTTCAAGACCACAAAGGTATACATTGAGAAACCAGTTACAGACCCTCTCAACATACAATGGATGGTTGCAGAGATTCCACAGCAAAAGGAAGGATCACTGTAAAAAAACCATTCTCTCTTTCTGGATGTTTAATTATTATTTTTTATAATCATTTGTTAAATAATTAATTTTTTTGTCTTATGAAGCGATTGTGGTGTATTTGTGGCTGCTTTTGCGGAGTATGTTTGCATTGGAGATTTGTCAATCCCTTCAGAAGGCCTTTCGGATAATTCTTGTTTTGCACACAAAATCTAGGAATCAACCTGAATTCTTGTTTTATGGCCCTAAAATACCAAAAAACAAGGATCAATTATGGCTAAGCGGTGACTATTGTTCATTAGGTCATTTTTTATGCACTTCCAAAATTTTATGAGATTTGGGGTCGGTTACCCGAATTCATGCAGATTACGTGGACTATAGCACACAATAATCTTGGAATCGTTCTGAATTCCTATTTCATGTCGCTAACCTAAAAAATGAGGAAAAGTCATGGGGAACCGATGACTATTGTTCAATAGGTCATTTTTTATGAGCCCCTAATATTTTAGGAGATTCGGGGCCAGTCGCCCGAATTCTTATAGATAGCATGGACTGTAGCACACAAAATGTGGTAATCGATCTGTATTCCTGTTTTATGGCCCTAAAACGTCAAAAAAATGAGGGATGGTCATTTCGAAACAATGACTAATTTTCATTAGGTTATGTTTTAAAGGGCCCGCAAAATTTTAGGATATTCGGGGCCGCCCGCCAAATTCATGTAGATGACGTGTACTATAGCATAGGAAAATTTAAAAATTGTCCTAAATTCCTATTTATGGCCCTAAAATGCCAAAAAACAATGAACAATCATGGCGAAGCGATGACTAATTTTAATTACGTCGGTTTTGATGGTCCACCAAAATTTTTAAGAGATTCGGGGTTGGTTGCCTAGAATCATTCAGATGGTGTGGACTATAACACACGGAAAATCACCCTGAATTCCTATTTTGTGGCCCTAAAATGCCAAAAAATGAGGAACGGTCATGGCTAAGCGCTGACTATTGTTCATTATGTCATTGTTTATGGCCCCGCAAAATTTTAGGAGATTCTGGGTTGGTCTCCCGAATTCATGCAGATAACAAGGACTATAGCACACGAAATTTTGGGAATCGTCTTGAATTTCGACTTTATGGCTCTAAAACACCAAAAATTGAGGAACGATGTTTCAGGAAAAAGTAGTCTAGTGCAGAGGAGTTTTGAAAAGGAAGTATAGACTACAGTAAAAATAAAACACAGAAATGGTTGTGAAAGAGTTTCAGAGATAGAAATATCTAAGGAAAGGGTAAGTTGCAACTGTTTTAAAAGACAATTTCAGGGGCTGAGTAAAACGTTTAGGCAGAACTTTTAGAAAGAAACTGTTTCAGAAAAAGATGCCGATTTGAGGGACTTAAAAGCATACTGAGTCAAGNGCTGAGTAAAACGTTTAGGCAGAACTTTTAGAA